TTTGATAAAATTAAAGAAACGATTGATTGAAAATGACTTCAAGGAAAAATGAGTTCTAAAAAATGAGAAAAGCCAAACACGAGTGTACAATGAATAAACATGCTAGGAGAAAAAAAAATGTAGGATAATTATGCACCTGGGATTTGGGTTGTTTTTCACCATCTTTTTTCCATACTTCCTCCACTTGAAGCCATCATCAAGTATCTCAATTTCTGACCTGGTTTTAAAAGCAACCTTCTCTGTTACTTCTTTATTCGCCCTGCCACTTCTAGCACCTCCTGATGCTGCAACTACAATATTAACGAAGAAAAATATGTAATAATTTTTTTCAGTTATTCTACATGGTATTGTCCATTACTAACTATCCAACATGAAATAAAAGAGTTGGTAGTTATGTGCTTACTGCCGTTGGGATCTTCATGGTAGCTGCTACTTCCCCCGAAATTAACCGCGTCATAGTTCTGGCTTTCGGGATAACCGGAGACGATAAGTTCTAGATCGTCCAGCTTCCGGTCAGTGAATTCGAAGAAATCTGAATGCTCAAAATTCATCTGGAAGTTACATGGGTCCATGCTCGAACCAGGCACGTTTGTGTTGGGATAATTCTCAGCCATGTTTATATGACCTAAATGTTCTTTCAGGTCTCCATATATACATGTTTGTTTCAGACCTCCATTTGTGGGGTGGCGTAGGGGGATGTACCAGCAGCCTTCCTCGGACGTTGAACGAAGTTTCGCAGTTGATTCTTCACTGATTTGGACAGGTGGCTAAGAAATTTATTTATTCGTGTTCGGTCCAAGAATTGCCAAACGTCAGATCATGATGCAAATTTATAATAAGAAAAAGAATTTGGGGAATGTTATGGTTGACTTCTGCCGACTGTGTTTTCTGGACAGACCGCTTCGCCCAAATTATGGTTTGATCCCATGACTGATGACTTCTAGACTATGATGGCAGTCTTTGCATCCTTTGTAGGTGGACGCCATGTCGTAATCTATGTAGGGTTTATTTTATTGTTATATTAATTTTTATCTATTGTTTTAGAAATATAATGAAGCATAATATTTTTCGTGTGTAGGAGAATAACGGGCCGAATGAAGCATGTTTAACATTGTTAGCAATTGATTTCGAGCAAATTTGATTGTCAAGAGAAAGAAGTTAATATTTTATTTATTATTTTGTACAAAATGCTGTACAGGAACATACCTGAGCTGTTAGATTTTGTATGGAAGAGAGAAAACATCAATGACTGTGAGGTTAAATTCGTATCATAAGTTCACATTTGGATGGAGCAAGTTGGTTCAGATAATTAGTAGTGGGTCTTGATTAATGAAAAGTTGGCTTCGAGGAAGATGGATAATATATTCATCTAGACTATATTAACAGGACATAGATTGATTTAATGAAGTTTGGGTCCAGTCAAAATCAGTAATGAGATAGTTGCAATTGCCACAAGTCATTCATTTACATCTAAAAGAATTAATTAAAGAGTCTTTTGTGGGGTTCAAAGAAATGCATAGGTTTATATATATAAAATAAAATAAATAAAAAGAATAAAAAGAAGAAGTAGAAGTAGAAGTA